CGAGTCATAAATAACATTCGATGCAGATAGGTCGTAGTTACCCACTATAAGTCACCGAAACAAACGAGTTTCTCTTTTCACTATATAGATGAGAATTCAGTTAACCTTCTGTCGACCGTTGTATGTAATGGATTTTTTTTAACCTCCGAATGGAGAGTCAAAAAATGCATATTCGATAAACAAGGCAATATCGTCAAGGTCACAGTTGAAAAAATATGCAGCGTATACGGTGAAGGACTGATAACTGATCGGACAGTTAGAAATTGATTTGTAAAATTCCGTTCAAGAGATGCGAACTTAAAATGGCGGAAAGTCCTCTCGACTTTGACGGCAACTTTTTAAAGGCGATATTTTACTAAAATTCACGTCAATCAAGACGACGTATAGCAAAATGGTTGAATGCTTCACAATCAATCGTTAAATTAATATAATTTTAATAAATGTCTGATAAAAGAACGAAAGTCAGTTATGACTCGACCTAATATATATTTCAGATCACATGATCTCAACTTTTGAAGAAAGAAAAGTTTTTTTTTTGTTTTTTTTTTTTTTTTTTTGAAGAAGGAATAGGGGATCACACTATAACATACCATTATCAACTTATAAATTTAGTAAACATTCCTATGCATTTGTCTTAAACAATGTTGACACTCCTTTCTTATGATACGTGGTTTAAACGACCTTTTTTTACGATCATTACCGCAGGATTAGGGTATGATCATTTTATCATAATGCTTGCAACACCCAAAATAAAGTGTATACATTCTTGATCTGTGTGGATGTATGTTGTTGGCATTCTTTTTTTTTTTTTTTTTCATTATGAAAATATCAAATACAAATTTGGCGGAAACATTGGAAGTTTTTGGAAATGGTCCAAATCGACTAAGAGATACGCCTACGGTAAAGAGTAAATTGAAAATATCTGCATTTGTTCAAGGAAAAATCTGTAAATTTCTGTTCATCACGTATTATACATTATGAGAGATAGATGACCGCAATTTCCTAAATTTATTTTGTAAATGACTTTACTGCTCATGTATAAAAAGGGAATAAATCTGCCATGTCGACACAAACTTATAAATGTTTTCCATTTCTCTTATTCTTTGACGTTTTCTATTTTTTGTACAAAGGTAAACATGACAGGACGTGAAATTTTATTCGGTACATTCTTTGTATGAAGTGACATTGTTTGCTTAAAAATGAAAAAACAAAAAAAAATCGATAGAATCCTCACAAAGTTAGAAGCGGTAAAATTTACATTTTTTTATTCTATTCTGAATAAAATCTGTTAGTAATTGACCGAAAACTTTTAAAGCACTTTAATACTAATCTGGAGGTAGGTTCAAATTGGTATTGATATAATAATATGAATGATGGTTGATATAGAAGATTCAGTTCTAAGGGAACATAATTTTCTTATTTGTTTCAATTCCATAACTAAGTGTTTCTGTGGAGAACCACCAACAACTGAAATATGGCTCGATATACGTTGTCGGGATCTATTTCGTGATTTAGTCAAAATAGCATAATAAACATAAAGCCGTCAAAGCCGACAAAGTCAGATTATCATCTGCACTCCCCCCTCCTCACACAGCCGCAATATTCTTCTCTCTATCGTACGGATAGGAGAATGATATAAAATGTAAACATTCTATGGTCATCGAAATAATTATAAAAATTGTAAATCAACTCTAGGGTAAGTAATAATACTATGGAATAGTTTCCAACCGTGCATTGTTCAACAATCAAGCGGTGTCTTTTGTTCCGAGAGAATATCAAAAAATAGCATACGAAAAAAGTTCTTATTAAAGAGCCGTGCGGCTTGGCTTCTCTCGGACATTTCGATTAATTATCGCTTTTTCTATTCAACAGGAAAATTATTGACAATTGATCGATGACGTTGTGTTAGTGAATAGGAATTAATGATGGCGAATATTGCTTAGCTGATGGACCGAAAATACCGTAAGCAAGCAAACAAACTATCATTTCGATCAATGAGCAATCAAGAGGCATCTTATTTCATTCGAATTTGTTGCACATTAGGTAACAATATTAGAGCGCAGCAGAAGGCACTGTAACGAATTTACGCAATAATTAAGTTGTGCTAGGCCCTCTATGAAAAATCAAAGTGTTTGCATTAAATAGTTCATTTAAAGTTAACTTTTATTTTTGTTCTGTTCAAGCTTCACTGAATTCAAAAATGAGTAAATTTCAAAAATCCCATTATATAAGAAACAAATTTAGGTAAATTACTTGCATACCACAAATCCAATTCGTATCTAGTTCCTTTTTCTAACTCAGGCGCACATCAAAGCAAAAGCAAAATAAAATATTAACTCTACAGTGATACTGATACTACGGAAAGTCTTAATATACATACGTCTATATATATATATATATATATAATGTTTCCAGATGAGTGAACTCACTGCCCGTGTTTATGCGTTTTTGCAAGGTTATGAGTAAGAAAATTTCAAGCTAAAACAGCAACAACAACGTAGACACGTATTTATTGAGGAATTTGTTGAAGAATATATTGAAAGAAAAAAGGCTTCTAGTGCAACGTTGTAAATGTGCGTAAAAAATACAAAATGAGGTACACAATAAAGGTTACGTTATTGATGACTAATTGGCTACTTTGAAATGATTGAGTTTGGTGTGGGGTATAGTCTCGCGTTGCGGCAAGTTACTACTTACAACTCAGAAAAGAAATGCATTTCCTTCGTACAGCTTTTTTAACTTTCTACCAATTTTTTTATTATGAAAGAATTGCCAGAATAGTTCAGTGTCACTTTCATTACAAAATAAGATTATTAAGTCACGCAAACAGCGAAGCAAAATATGCTTTGCAATCTGCTATGCTCTGTAATGTTGTTTAAAGTACTGCCTCACGCCATATAAAGGTTTTGTAATCAAATACGTATGAATTTAAACAGTTAAACGTTAACTGGAAAATAACAACGTATGTGGTTAGGATCACGTTAAAGGCCAAATTAATGGCAACTCTTCTACTTGCAAGCCTCGATACACTTACACTTCGAATATGTCCCAAAAAATTCATTTTAGCCCATTTCTATTTCTTACTTTTAAGGTTATGTCTTGAAATTAGTTTTCTTTTCTTTGTTCTATAAGCGGAAAATAGGAAATGCATCAACGGCGAATATAAATTATGAAATTTTTTTTCTGTGCGAATGATGATGTCCATGTAAACTTTGACTCGTTTGGTAGTTTTTTAGATTACAAGGTACACAAGAATTACCGCACGGCTTATATTGGTCCGCTTTTCGGTTTAAGGTCTTGCTTCTCGCCATTACGAATACAGTTTTGTTATTTGACAAAAAAAAAAAAAAAAAAAAAAGTAATCGTTTTTTAGTTAGTTTGCAAGGTTTATATGATTGTTTTCTAACACGCTATGGTCGATACAACACGTCACGTTACTTTTGTAGTTATCCCATCACCTTTTCGTTAATGGCCTTAAGCGTCCGTCATTCTCTTTAGCAAAATAATATAATTCGAATTTTTTCAATTAATGTCAAATAATCTTATATTCCGCTCGATGCGGTGTTTAACTGAATGACTTGCTCCGAAATACGATACAATTTAAAATGTTCCGAGATTAAGACATTAACGAAATCCTAAGATGATAGGATAAGCTGTGTCCTGCAAGCTTGAACCATCATTGATGTCGATGGATTTCGATTAACAATTAGATTTGAGGCATTGGGTCGCCAAGATTCAAGCAGATTTAAAGATATTTCATCAGGGAAAACATTCTATTTAATGATACGTTTATTTTAACGTCCTCAGTGTTTTTTCCATATTTGCAGATTGTGGTAAATTTAAAATTATATTCGCAAAAAATGCCATAACAATTAAATTGTGTTCCTATCTATATAAATTGGGTGATTGTGACTCCCTCTCCCTCACTATATAATTATAATAAAATTCATGATAACATGCAATTAAAACGCATATTTTGCTTTTTCTAACTAACTCAAGTTCGTTGTCTTAGTCATTTTGCATGCATAGTTTGTTGCAAAAAAAAAAAAAAAAAAAAAAAAAAAAAAAAAAAAAAAAAAAAAAA